GCAGGTCGAGGCTGCGGTGGCTGTGAGCATGCTACTGCACTCCAGTCTGGGTGACAGAGTGAGACTCCAACTCAAAAAAAAAAAAAGTGTAAGACTTAAAGTAGACTCATATTATATGGAAATCATATCGTTTGCACCATTTAAGATGCAATCCAGCCGGGCTCGGTGGCTCAGCCTGTAATCCTGCGCCTTTGGGAGGCTGAGGTGAGTGGATTGCCTGAGCCCATGGGTTTGAGACCCGCCTGGGCAACTTGGCGAGACCTTATGTCTACAATAAATCAAAAAATAAGCCAGGCGTGGTAGCGCACACCTGTAGTTCCAGTTACTTGGAAGGCTGAGGCGGAAGGATTGCCGGAGCCCAGCAGGTTGAGGCTGCGGTGGCCAGGAGTGCCCACTGCACTCCAGTCTGGGCGACAGAGTGAGACTCCAACTCTAAAAAAAAAATTAGCCAGGCATGGTGGCACATGCCTGTAGTCCCAACTATTCAGGAGGCTGAGGTAGAAGGAAGATCACCTGAGCCCAGGAGGTTGAGGCTGTGGTGAATTGTGATTATGCCACTGCACCAGCTTGGGTGACAGGCCTTACACAATTGAGATCTGGGGAAGGGGGACGAATGTCTGGGAGGGGCAGTGAGGACCAGAGAAGTCACCAACTGGTAGCTCTGAACAGTCAGGAATGTCCAGTTGCCAAAGTGGAGCTGCATCAAAGGAGACTGTACGGAGGTCCATGTGACCTGTACGCAGCTCCTGACTCTGTGAACCAGCAGCCCAGGCATTTGGTGGTGGGGTTTGAGCTGCTGTTGTTCAGCAAGGTTGGCAGCTGGGAAGAAGAGGGTGATGTGGAGTGAAGGGAGCATGAAGACACACCTGAAGCCATTGGGCATCCTTGCAAGTGTCCATCACTACCTGTGACGAGGGTGATGCTCCAGAACAGTGGGGCTGCTTCCCATCAGCTTTCCTAATCTCATGCACTAGGAGATTTTTGGCTAACCCTATCCTGGAACCATACAAGGATGGGGATCATGGGACACATAGCTCCCAGAGTAACCAAGTTGGTGAAGCAAAGTGCAGCACAGAGGTTACTCAAGGAATTTGAGAGAAGGCAAAGATGAGGTATGCAGTTTTGTTTTTTTTTTGAGTCAGAGTCTCACTCTGTTGCCCAGACTGGAGGGCAGTGGCATGCTCATGGCCACTGCAGCCTCAATCTTCTGGACTCAGGCAATCCTTCTACCTCAGCCTTCCAAGTAGCTGGAACTACAGGTGTGTACCACCACACCCGGCTAATTTTTTGATTTATTATAGAGATGAGATCTTGCCAGAGTGCCAAGGCTGACCTCAAACCTCTGGGCTCAGGTGATCCTCTTGCCTCTGCCTCCCAAAGTGCTAGGATTACAGGTGTGAGCCACCGTGCCCAGCTGAGATATATAGCTTAAGGGCCTTGTGATGGTTTATTTTATGTGTCAACTTGACTGGGCAATAGGTTGCCAAGATATTAGGCTAAACATGATCCTGGTTATGTCTATGAGGATGTTTTTGGATGAGATTAGCATTGCATTGAGCCAGGCTCGGTGGTTCAGCCTGTAATCCTGTGCTTTGAGAGGCTGAGGTAAGTGGATTGCCTGAGCCCGTGGGTTAGAGACCCACCTGGGCAGCGAGACCTCATCTCTACAATAAATCAAAATGAGCCGGGTGTGGTAGCGCGCGCCTGCAGTTCCAGCTACTTGGAAGGCTGATGCGGAAGGATTGCCGGAGCCCAGCAGGTTGAGGCTGTGGTGGCTGGGAGCGGCCACTGCACTCCAGCCTGGGCGACAGAATGAGACTCCAACTCAAAAAAAAAAAAAAAAAAAAGATACAATCTTAAATAAAGAAATAAAGGAATTCATTTTAATCATAATCGAAACTGATCCTCTTCATTTCTAAAAACCTTTTAATCAGGAAATTTCCAAAAAAATGTTTAAGATGCATGATAATGCTTTTCAGAGCAATTCCAAAATGTAATGTGTGCAAATTATTCGTATATTCATAATTTTATTATAACACATCAGATTTAGGGAATCAAGTATAGGGTAAAGGGGATATCCATTAGCTGCTAAAAAGGTCCCCAAGTGAAAGACATTTAAAAGTTGTAACTACCAGAGTGAGTGAGTGAGTGTGTGTGTGTGTGTGTGTAGGGGGACTCGACTTGCTGTTGTCAGTGACTTCCCCGTCCCCTCCACCCCCTCCCCTCCCCGCCGCCGCTGCAGTGGCCGTTCCCTGGGCCATAGGAAATGAGTGATAATGATGACATCGAAGTGGAGAGCGATGCTGACAAACGGGCTCATCATAATGCACTGGAACGAAAACGTAGGGACCACATCAAGGATAGCTTTCACAGTTTGCGGGACTCGGTCCCATCACTCCAAGGAGAGAAGGCATACCGGGCTCAAATCCTAGACAAAGCCACAGAGTATATCCAGTATATGAGAAGGAAAAACCACACACACCAGCAGGACATTGATGACCTCAAGCAGCAGAACGCTCTTCTGAAGCAGCAAGTCCATGCACTGGAGAAGGCGAGGTCAAGTGCCCAACTGCAGACCAACTACCCCTCCTCAGACAACAGCCTCTACACCAACACCAAGGGCAGCACCATCTCTGCCTTCGATGGGGGCTCGGATTCCAGCTTGGAGTCAGAGCCGGAAGAGCCCCAGAGTCAGAAGAAGCTTCGGATGGAGGCCAGCTAAGCGCCCAGGGCTGGCCAGCAATAAGAACTGTCTCCACATCCATCCCCTCAGTTCATCTGTAGACCCCTCACAGCCATTTAAGAGACTCTTTTTTTCTCTTTCTCCTTTTAAAAAATTTTTATTTTTACGTAGACACTCTTGGACAGCAGCTCTCGTCCTCCTTCCCCACATCCGCTATTTTTTTTAACGTAGTCCCTTCAGGGATTCCCTGTCCCCACCAGGAATTTTTAAACCAAAACACCCCAACTTGGCAACTTTTTCTGTGGAGGACAGATGGCTGTCCGGACCTCTGAGCACATGGAGTCCTGCCCTGCCACCAGCGCCTCCAACCCAGCCGTGCACGTGCCTGGAGGATACTTGCCCCGCCCGGGCCACCCTGACCGCCCTCACCTCTGTTTGATAGACTCTGAATCTGGGAACTTCTCCCCTGGAGACGATGGCTGGTTTGGGGTAATCAGAATGGCGCCTCCTCCTTTTTAAGGACTTTTCTTCTTTTTCTAAAAAGCTAGTTATCGCTCCTATTGAAAGACCAGATCCTTAAAGTGTGTGGTGTGAAGGAAGTAGGAGCAGGTGTGCAGCGCAGTCTCCAGCCCATCCACTTCTGCCCCTCTCGGGCCGCCGCTTGACCGGCTGTGCCCGCCTAGCAAAGAGCGCAGGCAGGAAAGGCAGCGCGGGTGAGGTGCAGCTGCCCCTGAGTGCTCAGGTGGGGTGGGACCAGGAGGTGTGTTGGGTGGGCGGAGGTTTTGTATGGAGGGCCAGTGATGATGTTTTGGTATTTATTTCCTGCTACTGAAATTTGAATCTGAGTGAAGTGTCCCTATTTCTGATGACATTGGTATTGCAAAGCGACAGATTCCTAAAGTGATGATCAGTTCTTTCTCGCCGAGTGTCTTTCTAAGAAATAGAGCCAACTGATTTTGTATGTAAATACCAAGAACGATTTACCTGGTACTAAAACCGCACCCCAGTGCGGCCCCTTCCTGTCCTCGCCCTCCTCCCTCCTGTCCTGGAACCTGTCTCCATCTGTGATCCAGCCCTGGTTCTGGCTGAGGTCAAGATCCCAGTGGAGGGTTTTGTGTGTTTAGGCCTCATTTATTTGTCTTTTTCCCACTCTGTTCCTGGCATTTGCTGATTTCTAGTGTATACTCTGTAGTCTTAGTCTGTGTTTGATTCCATTCCATGGAAATAAAAAGTATGTTGTACATACTGCCGAAGAATTGTCTTGCAAGTTAAGGCTTCCCCTTTACTATAACACTATAAATAAATACTTATTTTATCCTTAAAAAATAAATAAATAAAAGTTGTAACTACCTTCCTATTGATTTAGCTTTCACCAAAGCACTCACTGTTTAATAAGGTTGCCGGTTCTCACTGATTTGAAATACTTCATCCCTCCCTCCCTCCCTCCCTCCCTCCCTCCCTTCCTTC